TAATGTAAACCTTGGAGATCTGACATTGGTAGGAATGCCATTACTAGAATTTATTACTAAATAGAATTTATTGATTGCTTACCACAGTCTGAGTGCTTTCAAACATTATCTAATTGCAATCCTCTAACAATTCCACAAGGAAGACATCCTTATCCAACATTTTACTGCAAGGAAACAGGCTCAGAGTGGGAAAATGACAGACACCTGTGTGTGATTAGAGCTAGGTTTCAAACTTGGGCCATCTGGTTTTCCAAACCATTTTTCTATCCTAGAGCTACCTCCAAAATTCATACCCAAACTGAGGATCTTGTTCAGTATTTCACTGAAAGTGAGAGACAAATAAACAAAGCAAGCCCAGAGGAACCTAGCTTCAATCCAGATCTCTTGAATAAGACAGCTCCAGAGGGCTGCTTCTGAGGGAAGCAGTGGAATATAAAAGCCCTAACTCTGTCCCTTTTATGCTTTTGCTGATAATTAGTCGTAGGACCATAAATATGACCAAACCTTGGGCAAGACTAATTTTTCTTAAAGCCAGTGCATTCATTTTGTAATGAAATTGAATGCAAATGGATTGTAAAGAAATGTATTATAATTAAGAGTCATGTCAACAGAACAAATCCCTTTGGGAGCATGCCTGAAAATAAGCAGAAGCTAGGGACTGATTGTTTATTTCAGTTGTTACAGCCATCCGATTGGGGGAACTTTGTAACTTCTTCAAAAATTAATCTAGTTAAAAAATATTTTTATAAAAAATAATCTAGTTAAACCATCAATGGTTATAAGTTAACTCAGACGGAAGACTAAGTATAGAAAAGCTGGGATTTATCTATTTTTTAATGGTTAAATAGGTTCTAGGTACACCTGATGGTTTAAATTTTATGCTGCAAAAGACAGAGTTAATAATTGCCTGGTTAGCTTCAAAGAAAAATAATTTTTTAAAGTAAAATAAATTTTAATGTTAAAATGATAGAGATTAGATTAAAATATATATCTTTTAAGTAGGGGTGAAAAAATATGTTCCTGAAAACTATTGTAACCATGAAAAAATGAGCATCTCTCCTGTCTGCCTGACATTCTATGTATACTTCTATCATAATATTTATTACACAGTATTATAATTATTCACCTTATTAGACCAGAAAAGTTTCTGAAAACAGAGATTCTGTCCTTTGCTGTAGTAAGTTCAGTATCAAGTACATAGTAGGGTTTGTAAAAATGTTGGTTGAAAGATAAAGGAAACAGAGGAGTGAATGAAGTAAAGATCCTCCGTGGAATAAATCACATTGTTACCTGTTTGGCTTATGTTGGTGGAAAGTTTTTTCCTGTCTATAGTTTATTAAGTTTTTTATAACCCAAACTGTTGATTTTAGGGTGTGAACATCATGTTCCTTATACGTTCTTATTACAGGAAGACTGTTTGTCTGGATATTGTCAAAAAATATATATTGTATCTAATACAGAATCTCCTTTTAATTAAAATGTGGAAAGAGAGAAGTTAGATATTACAATCAATAGAAAGAAGAAAGTGTCAATTCTCTATTGACACACACACTTGTTCCTCCATTTTTTAAAAAATTTTGTGTATACTCTGAGACTGGTAAAGAAACTTGAGCCGTAAGTATTGTGGCCTGACATTTCAGTAGATTAGTCTTAAAGATACAAACCATAAAATATCTGTCCTAAAGTATCAATAAAACTATGCCAACCTTATTCAGTTGTGAGTGTGCATTTATGTCAAGCTGCTGTAGTATTTAGAATTCAAAGATCTGAATTGAGATCTCAATACCAACCCTTACTACATGAGTTACTTTGGGCAACTCCCATAGTCAATTCCTCATATGTAATTGGGTGTAATCTTATTGCAATATCTATCTCCCAAGGTTTTGAATATCAAATGAGAAAATTTATTTGAATGTCTTCTTGGAACTTTAAAATGTAAATTATTAAGATATTTAATGGGGAAAATAAAAAAGTTAATGACTTTCCAGAAAGCCTAGTAATTATACAAGAAATTTTATAAAGTTGTATGAAGACAGTACAAGAAAGTTTAGAATTCTGACTTACCTCCCCCAATGTGGTCTGAGTCCCCACGCAGATTGTTAGTCTTGATATTTTCTCTATGGTGTGCAGGTAATTCATTTAGTAAAAAGTTTATTCCTATAAACTATATCAATAATGGTCTTAAAATTGTGGTAATAATAATAGCTACTATTTAGTAAGTGCTTTCTAAGTGGCAAGCACTTTACATAATTTTCTCTTTTGATCTTCATTAACAGTATTAAGTACTGTTCTCTTCCCTCATTTTACTAATGAGAAAATTTAGTGGTAGAATTGGAATCTGACACCAAATCTCCAAGCAAGCTCATGGCTACTGCTAAGCTGTTGGGCCTCAGCTAAAAAATTGGGAGCCTTATGATCTAGTTTCTTAATGCTTCTGTTTCCCTTTTTTAAGAAAAAAAAATTAAAATGATGGTAACCTCCAAATACTTTCATGAGAAAAATTTACTTAGCGATACTTTTAAGATGTCTACTAGTAAGTGAAAGCTGAACAAGAAAAAAAAAGAAAAGTAGGGGGTTTGTTTTAATATATTTCAGGCTAAATTTAATTAACTTAATACCATTATGAAATTGTTTTTCTCTCACATTTTTCTGAACATAACTGTTTCTATTTTTTTCAGACATGGGTCATACTCAGCCCATTCTACCTTTCTGAATTCTCTAACTTCATGGGTGGGAAAGGTCTTATTTCATTTTATTTTTTTTTACATTTGTATTGATTTTAGAGAGGAAGGGAGAGGGAGAGAGCGAGCGAGATAGAAACATCAGTGATGAGAGAGAATCATTGATTGGTTGCTTCCTGCATGCCTCACAACTGGGGATTGAGCCTACAACCTGGACATGTGCCCTGACCAGGAATCCAATTCTTACCTCCTTGATCCTAGGTCAATGCTCCACTGCTGACCCACACCAGCCAGGCAAAAGGTCTTATTTTAAAAAGAGGAAAGAACACATTTGAGGAAAGCAATACGACAATGCTTTGGGATAGAGGATGATACTGAACTGATTGGATCCTGTCTGCTGACAAGTAGTTTCAGTTTGACTTATGTAATAGGCAGTCTTTCTTCCTCCCAAAGAAATGGTAGAATCACTCTACTCATTCAATAACTATTTATTTGACAATTATTTTTTTTAGTACCTGATGGCACTAGGTATCTTCCATAATAGCTTATTTATTCTTCACACTAACCCCCTGAAGAGGTATTGGTTTTTTTTAACCTTTTAAAAAAATGTTTCAAGTACAGTTTGCATTCAACACTATTTTATGTTAGTTTCAGGTGCACAGCAGATGGACATTCATATACTTCACAAAGTGTTCCCTCCAATAATTCATGTGCCCACCTAGTACCATAGACAGTCACTACTTTTGTACTACTGTGGCAGAGTATTCAGTAATTACAACACACATGGCCTACCACGCCTAAAACGTTTATTTTCCCACCCTTTATGGGAAAAGTTTGCCAAATCCTGACATATAATTTCTGATGAAGAATAGTAGCAGTCAAAAAGAACATATATCCTTTCAAGAAAAATTCAAAAAGTCTTTCATTTTGACCTACTGGTGCTGTTAGAACCAGATAGCATGTATTTTTGAGACTAACCTCCTTGCCATCCTCTCTTTCCCCACCCAAACTATTCTTGGCAATTTACAACATCAAGTGTTTCACCTTTATTCTAGGAGAGGGGAAGGAAAGATTGTCCATTACAGGTTGCCTCTTAGGCATTTCTTTGGCTTATCCGTTCCGTTTTGTGTGTGTAATCATGCATATGAATCTGAGTCAGACTTTCAGATATTGTGTAAGACATGTTTCTGACCTTCCCCTGAAGAGGAAATCCAGTATCTTTTAAATTTTAGAAGAAAGTGGCGTTACTAAATGGAATGTATTTCTCCATGTGATTGCCAGTACACAGTGCCACGTTCAGTTGACCTTAACATAAATCAGCAGACATGGGATCATTAATACCATACAGTGCTCTGAAATCATGCCTGTTAACATCTTGAAAAGAATATTTTACTACTTTTCTAGAAGCTAACCAAACAAAAATTACTGTACAACTTTTTTCACTCGTTTCATGTTTTTTGTTTGTTTTCTTTTGTCTCTTCCAAGAAAGTCTTTTGCTTTATTACTTTGGGATTCCTGGGAGGAATACTTTATACCTACTTACAGATTTTTGTAAACATTAGAAATAATGTATTTAGGGAATAAGAGCTTGTGGCTGACGTGATAGGCATTCAATAAATGGCTTTTATTAGTAGTAATAAAAGATACCTCCAGAATAAGAGAAATTTAAGAATTATGCAATTTCGTCTCTTCAGCAAAATTAGTATACATAATGATTATGGAAATTTTGCTAAACGTATATTGAATGCAGCAGAGTTTGTAAGTGAGAAAACTGGATACAACCGAAATGTTCATCATATAAATATTCCATGAAACAATGAAATATAAATATATATTTAGATGTGAATATGTTGCTGTTTAGACCTTAAGTGTTAGGTGACTAAGGTTCATTTATGCCTGGTGGAATTTAAACCTCACCTCTCTGAGGAATGTGATTTATGAACTTTTTGAGCTATGACCAAGTGAAGAAGAATTCTGAGGGTTGAAAACAGGATAGTTTTATTTTAAAGGCACCTGAATAATATGATATGATGACTTTTCCCCAGTGTATACACTTATTATTTCTAGCTGAGCATTTGAAATGTGAAAGTCCAGGCCCAGTTTTCAGAATATCCACTTAATTTCTTGTTCCTCTTGATTTGTAATTCTGAATACTCATAATGTGACAATGGAAACTGAGTACACACACACACACACATTGGACTAGACATTCTGGCTTGTCCTCTTGTAGATAATTCTTCAAAAATTTAGTAATTCGATTCTTAAATGAGATTTTTGAGGGTCTTGGAATGTCCAAGCCTAGCCTGGCAGGAGGGAGGCATGAAGTAAGGGGAAAATCAGTACGAGTTTAAGAGGCCTTTATCAAAATAGGTAAATGCTACCTATTTTCCCATTTTTATTGGGAAAATTTGAACACTTGATTAAATTTGGAGGATTACTGAAAACTGCCATCCATATTTATTGAGCACTACCTCAACCCTACAAAGCCAGTCTAATTATCCTTATATTACAGGTGAAGGAACTAAAGGTCAAAGAGGTAAAGATCACACAACTAAGAAGTAACAGGATTTAAATGGAAACTTAGATGCTCCCAGTCTAAGGAAGCATATCAGATTCTCAGGAAGTCTCAGTCTAATAAGGGTTATGAATGCACAATAGATTAAAGTATTAGGCATAATATAAGTGTCATAAGAGAGGTTTAAAAAGTGCTATCAAGACTCAGAGGAAGGAAAACACATCTAGTGGGAAAGCTTGGTAAGATTTTAGTTCATACCCACTATATTATCGTTACTGTGCTAGACATTGAGAATAAAAAACGAATAATAAACATTCCTACCCTCAGGGAGTCTATAGTCTACTAGTCTATTTGAGACACAGATATGGGAGACTTGGCAATACAGGGGTATTTTAGAAAGCACGGAGGCCGATCTGTTCCTTGTTTGGAATCCATTTCACTTTGGAAACCTAGACCTGACTCTGGCTAAGAGCCTTGAGACTATTGTTGTCTATAAATAGACAGGGCTGGAATTAAGAGAGCTTCCTCTGTAGGAATATCAGATTTCACTCTCAGAACTCCTATCTTGTTTTCCTACTTTTAATACTGTCTTAAGATGCTCCAAACACGAAAGTTTAATGAAGATTTATTTTATTTTATTCATAGGAAAAGGGTCAGAGTGAGTTGATTTAGAACATGGGCTTTGGAGTAAGATGACCTGTATTTGAGTCCCAGGTACTCTCTTGTGTGACCTTGGGAAAGTCATGTTGCTGCAGTCACCTCATTTGTAAATGGAATTAAAAATACTTTACAGGGCTTTGTAAGCAGTAAATGAGATATACATCTAAAGTAATTTAACACAGTGCACCTAGTGTATAATGAACCATTTAAAAATGGCTAGGGAGATTTCATAATAACACCTGATAGCGGCTGCTCCACAAGCCTCTATCAGGTGTTATTACTAGTATGTGGCCTTCTTGGTATATTCTCTCTGTGAATATGTGTATACCCCCCAAAATTACAATTTAGAAACCTCCAGGATTAAGTTAGATCACTTTTATTAAACACGCATAAGGATGTTTACCTCACACTATGACACAGGATCAGAAGACTGCAAAGCCATAGATGACTAAAGTACTCTGTGTATTGGAGCACTTGACCTGGATGCAACTTGTATCTCTCTTTTTCTCCCATGCCCCCAGCCTTAACTTTGCTTATTTTTTGGCCTCCTATTTATTTAGTTCTGTCTCTGCCATCTTTGCCCTGAGCAGTGACTGGCATACCTGTTCCCCTCTTGCCAATCTTCCTCCAATGATTAAGACAATTGCTGGAAATAGAGCAGGAGCCTTCTGTAGTTGATAAGAAAATTGATAGTATCCCTTGGCCTACTCATTCCCTCTGTTCTTCACAAACAAAGAAAAACAAACAAAAAATGAGGAAGACACTAGATACAGGAAGGAAAGGGAATTTTCCAGGATGATAGTGAAAGACAATCACAGTGACAGCTAAGCACACCAACTGAGATAATGAGTACAGACTTGGCTCCAAGAGAGACTCTTTCTCGAAAGATGAAATTGATAAGAGTTTCTGACCCTTCTGAAAGATTTACACATTTGATGAAAAGTTTGAAGTTAAATTAATGAGCACCTGAAAACTAAGCAAAGCGGGGAGGGGTAGGGAAACTAAGCAAAGGGAAAAAACAACACAATGACTCTGGAGGGTGGGGGCGTGGGGGGGGAGTTTATAGGAAAGGAAAACTATTCTTCACAACATGGCTTAGCTTTGAATTGCACTTTGATATTCATAATATAAAATTTGATATTGGTCTAATCAAAATTATGATGTTATTGAAAGGATGGTTATATTTATACTAGAGGCCCGGTGCACGAAATTCATGCACAGGGGAGGGGGGGTCCCTCAGCCTGGCCTGCACCCTCTCGCAATCTGGGACCCATTGGGAGATGTCTGACTGCCATTGGGCAAGACCCAGACCCAGCCAGTCCCACCTCTGTTAAGCCCCTCTGGGCGGGGACACTGTGTCATGTCCCCACCCACCCACGCGCCTGCCGCGCACACAGCCTCCTGCTGATCGGTCATTACAGCGTGAGGGTGTCACAACCATTAGCATATTAGCTCTTCATTATATAGGATAGGGAAGTGAAGGAAAGAGAACTAAATTCTCTTCCATAGTGGAAAGTCAGTAGATAATGCTCAAAACTTGAAAAAGCAAGAAGTAACAAAATAAGCAAACTATTTGAAAACAGGGAGGTAAATACCAAAATAGCCCACAGCAGTTGCCTTTGAGGAAAGAGAAATTGGAAGAGGTGGACAGGGAACTGCTCTTTTTGTGTTAGTCTTGTAGAACTATTTAACTCTTTTAAATTGATACAAGTATAACTGACGAAAAAAAAAAACTAAAACAGAAAAATCATGAATGCATAGCAATAAAGCTGAAGGTTAGAGTTATATCAAGAGGGAAGAAAAATAGGTTACAAATTTTATTATAAGAACATGTACAAGGAAAAGGTTTAGGAGAATATTATCTTTGGATTATGTAATGTTTCCCTTCTTTATACTTTTCTGAGTTTTTAGCATGGGGCATGAATTATCTTTATAATCAGACAAAAAGCTATTGCATGTTACAGAAAAAAACAATTAGAAATGTGAGAGGAAAACTATGTACGAAGATGTTCATTACAGCATGTTTATAATCCTAAGATATCAGAAACAACTGTTTAATCAGTAAATATTTCATAAACTATGGTTCATATACCTATTGAAATATTGTAGTGTCATTTTTAAAAAGAGGATCTAAGTGAGTTTATCCTCATGTATAGTTTTCACCTTTAATTATGCTATACCCTCAGTTTAAATGTCCTTTTCCTTCTTTCCACTTTCTTTTCATTGGTATTTCCCAAACCATTACATCCCACAAGAAGGCCCTGTGACAACCATCATCACTTACCCACCGACCCCGCTCCACTCTCACCTCCATTCCAATTGTGTTACCCGTAATCTGTGTTTTCAAAATATTTTGAGCAGATACTCTATATTTGCATTTACCATCTAGTATTATAATCTAATTATCTTTCCCACTAAACTTTCACCTTGATAGCTAGAATTGGTCTTATTCACTTTTATGACTGCAGTGCAAAGTACAGGGCATAATCAATATTAGGTGCTGGATAAAGAAAAGAATAATGTAAAAAATACTTGTGTTGTCATGTTAAGTAAATTGGGGAAAGTAGCACCTACACTTCAGGTTGTTATGAGGATTAGATGGGAAAATTCATGTAAAACATCTTGTATAATGCCAGGCATAGGTGCTCAGTGAATAAGAATGAAGATGGTGGCAATTGTGCTGGTAACAATGATAAGAGCTGTGTATTTTTTGTTTTCACAGATAGCCCCGATACAGGCCTTGGAATTTGTGGATGGATTTTGGTGTATGTCTCATTCTTTTTAACAATTATAACTTTCCCATTATCAATATGGATGTGCATAAAGGTAAAGAATATTTCATCTACATCTGGGAAGGTGTCAACTCCTAACTACATAAACCCACTTTGTGTTTGCATGTGTGTTAAGAGAGATAGAGACCATACTGGCTTATAATTCTTTTTCCTTCATCTCTCTTTTGGAAAATTCACCCTGGCCACCTATTATATTAGAATCTTAAAGGTTCTTTTCAGCCATAGTTTAGTCCGTCTTTCCCGAAAGTTTAAAATCACCATTTACTGGATATGGGGTGGTCCTATGAGAATTGCTCCAGTCAGGATGCTGAGGTTTGACTGCTGGCTCCATTGTTTTTGGTGTGACCTTTACTATGTTTCCTCACCTGTAAAATGGGAGGAAATAATAACACTCCACAGAGCCATTGTGAAGATCAAATGAATTAATGTAATTAAATGTGGTTGTCACATAAGTGCTTCCCAAATGCTGCTTATTTTTTCTATAAAGTTATTAATACTTTGATAAGTGACTATAATTTACATATTTTAAAATGATCAAAATGTGTTCCAAGAATTTTCAGGTAAGTTTATTATCATAATTTAAGAAATCAGGAGACAAACTATGAGAAGTTCGTCTTTTTTTTCCCTGTATTAACAACGCAGGAGGTAATATTTAATAATGTTAACTAACAGTTGAGGAGTGAGGTTATAGATAGATTTGCTTCTCTATACTATTCTATACTTTCCAGATTTTAGACAATGAATATCTTTTGCTTTTATAATTAGTAAAAAAATTAAGTAAATAAATATCATACTTAGTGGAGGTACTAAACATTGGACATATTTGTAGATATAATCTGGATTATAGAGAAGAAAACAAAATAGAGACATGTAAGCTGCTTAAAGCAGAAATATATATTTTAAAAGCTATGCATATAAATATTTGTACTCTTCATATTAAATTATTATTTATTTGTGTTTTTAATCTAGATCATAAAAGAATATGAAAGAGCCATCATCTTTAGATTGGGTCGCATTTTACAAGGAGGAGCCAAAGGACCTGGTCAGTACTCAGATTCTAGATTTGAAGACTGACATTCTTCCTTTTATTGATGTGATTTCCCTTATACTTTCTCTTCTCTGTTGACTTAGAAAAGAGTTCTTCATATAACAAAAGTTGTATAGCAATAGCAGAGGTGTTAGACAGTCTTGCTATAACTACCCTTTTCCTTCCTCTCCCTTCCCCTTCCCATTTGAGATAAGATTATCATGGGCTAAGAGTAGCTACAGCAGTGGAAGTTGGAGCATGAGAATCCGTACTAAAATAAAGGCTTTGAGTCATTGTTTTTGGCAAATTTTGATTAAGTTCCTGTGGGAAGAGCTCAGGAGATTTATCTCAGTGCAGTGGCGGATGCAATGGCGTGAGCACACTCCGCCTATACAAGCTTCCTCGGCACACCGGGGAAGTGGCAGCGCCCGCCTGAGTAAGCCCCCTAGAGCCCCTACATAGTACCCTAACTTTCCTACCATTGGTTGCCCTAAGGATGTTGTAAACTTCTGATTGGTCTGGAATGTTATATATGTCCCTGCACTTAAACAATAAACTTCAGACTGCGTCTTGAACCTGTCTCCGGAGTCGGGCATGCTTCGATAGGACTCCGTCGGCCTCACCCCCGCGGGACCCCCTGCATCAAGTTCCTACTGTGTTCCAAGCTCTGGGAATTCACGGGAGACTATAACACAGTTCCTGCCCTCAAGGATCTTACTGTCTAGTGGTGGGATACCAATGGGGGGACAGAAAGTTACAGTCCCTTGTGATAAGTATTATGATCCAGGTAGTTGTGGAAACCCAGAGAGGAGTGACTGGCCCGAACTAGTAGGATGAGACAAAGCTTCCTGGAGATGACAACTTGGTTGAGTCTTGAGGCATAGAAAGGTATTAGGGGAGGTGTTCCCCCCAGAAATAGCAACATGTACACAGCCATATTGAGAAGAGTACTTCGGGTTCCAGGAACTGCAGGTCGCTCAGCCCAGCCAGAGAGGAGGGCATGAGGAGAGGGGAATGAATGAAGAGGTAAGGGGAGCAGGTCATGCAGAACCTTGTGTGACTCATTCAGGAGTTTGTATTTCAGGAAAGAGTACTCTGCTTGCAGCTTAGAAAATGGATCGGAGGAGAGGCACTGGAAGAAATAGAAAGATGATTTAGAATCAATTGCATTGGTCTAGTGAAAATAGTGACAGTCACAGTGGAGTAAGGAAATGAAATCCACTGCCTTGGTGGGGACAGTTAGGGTTGGGAACTGAGCAAGAGGAGTAAAGAATAACACTCCTAGCTTCTGGCTCATTCACTGAGATGAACTGGTGAGTTATAGTCCATTAGGTTGCTGCTATTAGAATTGAAGGATGAAGTAGACCGTTTAGATCAGTGATGGCAAACCTATGTCACCTCTGACACGCGAACTCATTTTTTTGGTTGATTTTTCTTTGTTAAATGGCATTTATTTTTTTTTTGCCAGGTCAAATCGTCTCTGTTTATTTTTTTTTAATTTTATTTTTTATTACAAAGGGTATTACATATGTGTCCATTTTTTTCCCCGCCCTAGACAGTCCCCTAGCCTCCCCTATTCCCCAGTGTCTTATGTCCATTGGTTATGCTTATATGCATGCATACAAGTCCTTTGGTTGATCTCTTACCCCCCTACCTA